CTGGTGGACTTGCGGTTATGGTGGCAGAGTGGGACGCTGTGTGGCTGGCTCTGCCTCAGGCCGATCGCTGGATCTCTCCAGGCCAGCGGCTTCGAACTTTTTCCCCCTCAGGCCCCCGTTGAAGAAAATTGAGATGCCCACGACCCAACAGAATTTGACTGGAGTGTGGGCCCTGAGGTCGGGCTGAGGAGGGGAGCTTTGGGGTGTAGGAGGGGGCTCCGACTTTGGGGGAGGTCAAGGCTGGGGCAGGAGGGGCTGCCCTCGAGCTGCTCCCGGTCAGTGGTGCGGCAGGGGCAAGCTAAGGCAGCTTCCTGCCTCCCCTGGCACCGCAGACCATGCTGCCCCCAGAGGCAGCCGGCACCAGGTTCCCAGCCAGTAGGAGTGCGGAGCTAGTGAAGATTCAGTGAAAAGCCAAGCAGGCCCTGCAGTCAGCCCCAGTGTACTGCCTGCCCCTGGTGCGGTTTAATTGTGCCCCGCTCTTTCATGCCCCTGGAGATTCCACTGACTCCAAACTTCCACAGTTGGTATCGTCCAGGTTTCCAATGGGTGTTTCTGGCCTGGTTCCTAGTCCCCTCTCAAGGACTTCTAGTTCCCTCATAAAAGAGAACAAGACACGAAATACCAGCAGCTGCTCTAACCAGCAGCAAGTACCTTGTTAGCATGAGCCTCGGAGCCTGGGCTGTAGCTAAAGAGACGTTGCTGTTCACCTCAGCGATGTCCTCAAACTCATCTGCTTCTCTCTGATACCTGCCGTGGCAGGAGGTCAGCATCTGGGCCAATGTGCCCTCTATTTTTTTCCCAGCTATGTGCGGAATACATTTTGTTCTGTGCACTGCAGCATGTGCGGATGTGCACCACCCATAGAAATACATGCTGCCGGCTGGGGGCGCTCTGCTAATCAGCTGGGGGGATTTGAATCATGCCTGGGTGGCTGTCCAAGTGTGCAGCTCATAAGAAACACTTACCTGGGCCAGCAGCCTCTCGGGAACATGAGGTCAAATCACTGAGCCCATGCGGGAGATGTCGGGAGGCTGATGCCATGTGGGTGCCTGTCATAGCCACTGTATACCGAGGATCGGGCTCTTTCCAGGGGAGGAAAGGTGCCTTGCAAGTCTGCTCCCACCCTGCTTTATGAAGGTGCGAGGGAGGGAATTCCGGTTGTCCCAGATCTGAGAGCGTTGAAGGTTTTGCGAGTCATCTGGACTCCATCGGCCTTTATTAATTCCCCCCTTCCCACCAAGCGTTTTCTTTTCTTTTTGAAAATCTGTCTCCAAGCTGAACAAGTCGCTGCAAAGCTGCCCCCTTGCAGGCACAGATTCAGGGTGGGCGGTGTCCCCGTTGGCAGCTGTGCAGCAGACAGCCAAGCGAGGCAGTGAAAGGAGCACGCAGACACAGCCAGACAGAGGGTCCCTGGTCGGGGGAGCTCCCCGTCCAGCCAGGCAGGCTGCAAACTGCAGTGCAACGCAGGCTGGGAACCAGAGCCCCAGCTCGGGCCTGTGAAGAGACACCACGGGCTGGCGGCCGGGGGTGCAGAGCAGGAGGCCTTACTTGTCCCCCCATTACAATAGGAGGAAGTTTGGCGAACGCCCACAGGGACTGTCGTGTTTGGACACGGGCAGGGGACATCATCTGCACAAACATTGTGGAGAGAGAAATATTGATGCAGGCCAGCCGCCCCAAAAGCCAAACACCTGCCTTTGGGGGCGGGGAGCCGGTTACAAGACAAGAGGCAGAAGGAAACCAGCGGGGCTTGGTTCTCACTCTCCTTCCTTTGCCGCCTCTCGTCCCCTCCAGCCCAAGGAGTGCAGGGAGGGAGAGTTGTCTAAGGGTTAGAGCACAAGCCAACCTCTGAAACCCGTTCCCAGCTCTGCCATGCCCTGGAAGAGCCAGACTCCAGGCGACCCCCCTGCATGTCCCTGTGCCTGTCTCAGCTGGAGAAGGGAGGGGGCGGGGATCGGTAGCATTGCCTGGCCAGCCTGGGGGGTGAGCTTGAACTAAACCGTGCGGAGCTGCTCAGGCCTGGGTGGCTAATGCGTGTGTGGCTGGGTCATATTAACGACCCGAGACCCTGAATAGGAGGCATGTTCCCTAGAATCCATGTTGCATGTTTCCCAGAAAGCAGGCTCCTAAATATCCTGGTGCGGAGGGAGGGTGGGAGGGCTGGGTGTGTGTGTTTGGGGTGGGATGGATGGACAGATGGACACAGAACTGTGAGTGGGGCTAGGTGGAGGGTGTGCAGGGGTGGGCTGCGTGGCTGACTAGAGCAGAGGTGGGGATCTGGCCCCCAGCTTGCCTAGATCCAGCCCCGGAGGCTAAACCCCGCCCCCAGCATTGGGGAGACTGTGCCAGCTATTCCAACCCCTCTCCTGCCCAGTTCCCCCCCCCCCCCTCCAGGGCTGGAGCACCAGCACCAGCTCCCTGCTGTGGGGGGAGGAGCCTCACAAGCCTGAGTCAGGGAAGCTAAAGCCGGATCCAATCCACAGACTGCCTGGTGGGGGAGGAAGAGCCTCTCCCCCTTCCCCCACAAAATCTATCAGCCCTGGCCCCCCTGGGCTCTGGTGTGTGAGGGGAAAGTGAGGGAGGGTCTTTCTGCTCCACAGTCGGGGGCCACGTCATTGAGGTGTGGTTGGCTGGTTGGTTGTTCTTTGGCTTCTCACTTGGTCATGGCTCCGGACTGGTTTTTCTGTGGGTCAGCGGCCCCCGACCCAAAAACGGTTCCCTGCCCTGGAGCGAGCGGGGCATACGGTAGATGGGTGGGTAGGCAGGAGACATGCAGGCAAGTCAGCCCGTGAAGCTAAGCCTCTTACAGCCCCGGTGTGGCTCTCCTCCACCCAGCGTTAGCTGTGAGGAGCCCTGTGGCACCAGATTTATTTGGGCATCAGCCCCAGTGGGAATGACGGAGGCAGGCAACACGCCCCTGGCACATGCACCTATTGTCGGTGACTGTGTCACCGCTCCAGTGGCAGGGCGGGGGGCCGTGGCTGTTCCCCACACAACCCCTCCCTGGCCTGGTGTTTTGTTCCCCAGCTGGAGAGCTACATCCAGGAGAACGTGCGGCTGGAGCTGGCCGAGATCCAGCTGCACGCGGTGCAGAACCACACCGCAGCCATTCTGGAGATGGGGAGCAGCCTCCTGAGCCAGACGGCTGAGCAGACCCGCCAGCTCACCAAGGTGGAGACGCAGGTAAGCGGGGGTGGGGGCGGCGGGCGGGTGGAAACGTTGCAGGTGCCCTGAATGCCCAGAGCCGGCCCCCTCCCCCAATCGAACTCCCTCCCAGGACTCTGAAGGGGGAGCACTCGGCAGCACCCCCCTTCAGGGGCCGCAGGGCCACATGTGCTGGCCGCCACCCAGAGTGAGTGGGCAAGAAGGGGGTCTACTCCTGCTGCGCTTCCGGTGAAAGGGGGTTGCCCCCGACGGACTGGGCAATGCACGGGAGGGGGAGCGCATGGGAGCAGCAGGCAGGGCCAGGGGACTCGGCCCCAAACGCCAGTGGATTCAGACCCAGGGTCAGGAATATTCCTTGTGATCAGTCACCAGGGGTCCATATAACTCGCCGCCTGCGGGGGGCTGCCTCCCCCCAAGCTGTTGGCCAGGCTCTGAGGAGCTCTGGAGTCGTCACATATAAGTCCCTAGACTGGAATTGAATTTGCGTAGCCCTGCGCTGGGTTTGGTTCCCCGCTCTCGGCAGAGGAGGTTCTGCTGCATGTGGTGCATGGTGATTTCCATCGTTTGCCGGTGTCTTTATAAGAAGCAGGGGGGAGGGGCAGGGGGAATGTGATGCCGCTTCCAGCGAAGACACCCGAGGGACCGCATCAAACAGCTTCTCCCTTGTCACTCGAGGAAAGTGTAAACGGCCCAGCCCAGCTTTCCAAGGGCTGCGGCTGCCCACTTGAGCACTGCTCGGACCTTTGTCCTGGGTTCTTGTGAAAATCTGGCCTGCTGTGTTGGTGCCTCCGTGGGAGCAGAGCGCTCTGGGAAATCCAACTCTGCATCTGTCTGCTTAATATCCATGGAGAGCCGCGTGCGGAATCCACGGACCTCGGATGCAGATCCACAATCCGCCTGGTGCTTTAGAAATCCAGCCCCACTGTGGGTGGTGAAACCTTGAAAATCTGACCCCTACGGCACTGAGGACTGTACTGGGACAGGAAACCTAATCCCCAGTCTTCCTCCTTGGGCCCAAATCCATGTCCCCATCTCGGCTGCTCCTCCCGCTACTGGGCTTTGGAAAGTGTGTCCCAAATGCGCATCCCCACTGCTCCCATCCCTTCCTGACCATCCCAGGTGGTTTTTCCCCCCACTAGGTTCTCAATCAGACCTCAAGGCTGGAGATCCAGATGCTGGAGAACTCTCTGTCCACTAACAAGCTGGAGAAAGAGCTGCTGCTGCAGACCCAGGAAATACACAAGCTCCAGGAGAAGAACAGGTAATAAAAAGCCTCTCTGGGTAGAGCTGTAACCTGGCTGGGACCTGGCTGTCTCCACCACACAACGTAGGCCCAGGAGAACCCAGCAAGGCCTGGGACTTCGCAGAGTTTCTAGGGCCAGCTCTGCAGCTGGTGCAAAGCCACGTTGCTCCAACGACTTCACCTTCCAGGTGAGGATCTGGCTCATAGAACTTGATGAAAGTGTTGGGTTCCAGGGAACGCTTTGACGTTCCAAGGAACATTTTCTCCCCTTTGACTTCAAATGCTGTTCATGGCAAACTCAGTAAAAGCTCATTTTCAGCCCCTGTCTCACTAGTTACCTGGCAGCCTGTGCTATGATCATGAAAAAGACCCCTGGTTGGTTGTCATTCTTGCTCTGGCTTGCAGAACAACCAGAGGATGGGAATAAAATACAAAATGTCCAAGCTAGCACAGCTCAAAGGAGCTTCGGTTTTGCAATATGGATGCCAAACTCCGGAGCTTTGGAGTTCTCCTGTTGCCCAGAACCTACACTTCCAGAAGGGGTTCTAAGCATCTCTGGGCAAATTCCCTGCTCCTTTTTTTGGCAGCGTAGGAAGGCAGGCAGCTGTGTGTCCACAACTCAGACAGCTGCTGCCTTCACTAGAAGTAAATGAACCCGCAGGGTAGTTGTAGCCATGTCAGTCCTGGGACATTGGAGAGACGAGGTGGGTGAGGGAATGTCTTTTGTCAGACCAGGAGACGAGCTTTTTACAATAATCTGGAACCTACTAGGGATGTTAAATATTGGTTCATTGAATAGTTGAGTAACCTCATGAATTCTTATCGGTTAGTCAACTATTCTGTAGTCCCTGGGGGTGGGGCCGGCAGCCAGTGCAATCTGGCCCCACTTCCGAGGAGTCCCCTGCCACCTCACGCTGCTGTGTCTCTATCAGCGGCAACAGCGCAGGGTGCCAGACGGGAGCTGGTCCGTGAGGGGATCCAGTTTAAAAACCAGCTCTCCTTGTGGACCAGCTGTTTGTCATTTTGTGCTGCTGCCTCTGATACAGAGGCAGCAGCATGGGGTGGAAGCAGCCTTTGTCCGGGGTGGGAGATGTCTGTGCTTCTGGACCCGGCACAAACCTGCCTGGCTCCTAATACACTTTAAATGCAGAGTCGCAAAGGGGGTAGGTCCTGGACCCAGTGCAAGCCGGGACTGAGCCAGGCTGCTGGCCAGCCTGCTAAAAAATTTACTGGTGGGGAGGAATGCATGTAGTCTATAGCATTAACCTATAAGCTTGTGCTTATCGGTTAATTGACTACACTATTACATCCCTACAACCTGCAAACTCCCCTCTTCCCCCGTTTTGGCTTATGAATGAGTCACTCCACCTAGATTTGCTGTACTAGAATGTAAGACGTTTCAGAGAAGCAGCCATGTTAGTCTGTGTCAACACAACCAGCCAGGAGTCCTGCGACACCTCAAAGACTAACACGTTTATTAGGGCGTAAGCTTTCGGGGGCTGCTGCTTCAGTCGGCAGGGATTCATACATAGGTGCCGGGATGGGATCGCAACATCCCTGCTAATGAGGCTAATGCGACCAGGGTGGGTGTCACCCACTTCCAACAGTGATAAGAAGGGGAGAATAGCTAAAGGGGGAAATGGCTCATGGACATGAGAGAACCACTCCCAGTCCCTATTAAGACCCATTCCGCAGGTGTCAGATTTGCATATGAATTCCAGCTCTGCAGTCTGGTTTTGAAGTGTTTTGGCTGGAACCCACGGCGATGTCCACACCGGCCATTCCTGCGCTGCAAGAAACCCGCTGTTATGGGGCTACACTGTGCTCCTTGGGATCATGGAGCAGATAAGCATGAGCAGCTCTTGCAATGCCCCGGAGAGCAGTGCATTGTGGGAGTTATCCTGCGGTGCAACTGGCCGTGGGATGCTTTGGGAAGGGTTTGCAATGCTGCAAGGGGCAGGCAGCGTCACATGATGCAGGTTTCCCAATTGCATGGTCATCCTGTTACACTGACAGCTGCTTTTCAGCAGAGATTGGGGGAAGGGAGAGAATGTGACAGAGTGTGTGTGGATGCAGGGCGAGGAGAGGAGACAGTGTGTTTTGGGGGAAGTCAGCATGCTGTCTTGTAAGTAAAGACAGCGGCAGGAAACGAGCCCTCCTGAGGTAGGGAGAGGGAAACTCAGACTTCTCAGCCCCCCTCCCCAGTTTTTTGCATGTCAATCTCTCTCTCACACACTGAGGCTACATTTACACGATGAGTTTTCTTGGCAAAAAATATGCTAATGAGGGACTCATTTGCATGAGTTGTGATTTCATTTGCATATTTTCTGCTGATCCATTTTCACGCTAGGGGTTTTTGCACAAAAAGAAGCAGTGTGGATGTTTTCTTTTTGCACAAAAACCCCTTGCCCCACGAGATTGGTACACCTCCTAGGCATAAGGAACTTTGCACAAAAAGAAGCAGTGTGGATGTTTTCTTTTTGCACAAAAACCCCTTGCCCCACGAGATTGGTACACCTCCTAGGCATAAGGAACTTTGCACAAAAAGAAGCAGTGTGGATGTTTTCTTTTTGCACAAAAACCCCTTGCCCCACGAGATTGGTACACCTCCTAGGCATAAGGAACTTTGCACAAAAAGAAAACACCCACACGGCTTGTTTTTGCGCAAAAACAAGCCGTGTGGGTGTTTTCTTTTTGTGCAAAGTTCCTTATGCCTAGGAGGTGTACCAATCTCGTGGGGCAAGGGGTTTTTGTGCAAAAAGAAAACATCCACACTGCTTCTTTTTGTGCAAAAACCCCTAGCACAAAAACGGATCGGCAGAAAATATGCAAATGAGATCGCAACTCATGCAGATGAGCCCCTCATTAGCATATTATTGCCACTCGTAGTGTAGATGTAGCCAGACAGAGACACGCACACACACACCCCTCTGCCTCTGAATGGTTTGCTCTGTGTCCCAAAGCACATCAGCCCAGCATGCAGGCTGCCCGAATCGCAGCTCTGAAAGGGGAGATGCACAAGCCTGCAGGGCACACGGACAAGTTCCAAACAAAGAGCAGAGGAGACTTGAGGGATTATGGGCAATTTCCAGAGGCCAGTTTCAACGCAACAATTCAAACGTATCCCGAGCACAGTGAGCTCTCCACTTCTCGTCGAGGTTGTTTCTTAGAGGGCAGCAACTGCAGAGTGAGTGGGTGCTCAGTGCCTTGCCAGTGTGGACACCTCGGGAATTATAGGACTGGAAGCTGATTTTCCGTGCAGTCATTTGCCAGCACAGACTTAGCCTGTGTGACCAGGAAGGCTAAAGTGCTCCCCTACTGTTTTTTGGTACGTTAGGGCACATCTACACAGCACAGCTAAAGCTGAAATATGCTACTCAACTCCAGCTACGTCAGTTGCGTAGCTTAAATTGAAACCGCTTCTTTCAGCTTTGGGCGCTGTCTGCGCAGCAGGAAGTCCGAGGTAGAGCACTCGTCCTCCGACTTCCCTTACTCCTCGTAAAACGAGGGTTACCGGAATCCAAGTAAGCAGCCCTCCTGCTCGATAGTATTTCGACATGTCAAAATAACTGCTTGAAGTGTAGACGCGGACTGTGTTATTTCGGAATAACATCAGTTATTCCGAAATAACGCTGCTGTGTCGACGTGCCCATACGGTTCTTGGTGTCTGATTTGCGTCCATTTCTTCTTTTGCATAGAGACAGTCTGGTTTGTCCAAGGTACCCAGAGAGGGGCCTTGCGCTATTCCCGCTGGCATTTAGCTGAGGGTTTGGAGAATCGGTCCCAGACCTGCGCAAGAGCTAGCTCTGTGTGGCTCAAAAGCTTGGCTCTCTCGCCAATAGGAGCTGGTCCAGTAAAGCATATTTCCCTCCCCCACCTTGTCTGGTAAATACCTCAGTGGTTGTCCCCTCAGTTTGGGTGATGTTACATGCAGAGGGGACCGGCCGGCTTACAGCTCCTGCTTGCAGACAGCTCTGTGCTGCACATCCCGGATCTGCTAAGGGCTTGCGTCAAGGGCCCGCTGTAGGTGACACAAATGGGACAGGGCTCTAGTTAGATGCCCGCTGACTAAGGTGAAGGGTTTTTATGCTTCTGGGAACATTCTCCCTTGTAAATCCTCCCTGCAGTGAAGCCCTCCTCCCTCCACCCCCACCCTGGGAGCCAGCGGAGCTTCTGCTACCGCAGGGACTTGTCACTAATGGGTTTTGCAAATTGAAAACCAAGCGGTGCCGGTGCTGCTGAGCGCTGGGCCGGGGCCAACCGTTTCCCACAGCTTGAAAACGCATCCCCAGAGAGCTCCACTCCCAGGAGGAAGAAAAGCCGGGGCGTGGAGTCTGAAAACGTCCCCTCCCCCCCGGGTTTGCAAAGCGTGGGGCTGGCAGCGCTGTGCTGGAGGGGGCTGCCAGAGATGCAGAGCCCAGCCCCTCTGGGGACCAGAGCCTGCAGCAGTGCATCTGCCCTTCACCCCGGTATCTGGGCTCCTTCCAGGCTCTTGTGTGTTTCTCCTCTGGGGTGAGGCTGGGCCGTTATCCCCTTGCGTAGATGAGAACTGAGGGAGAGAAACTAAGTGCCCCTCCCAGGGTGATACCAGGAGTCTGGCCCAGCCAGGAGCGGTAGCCAAGGCTCCTCGGTCCCAGCCCTGCACTGGCCCACCCCTCCTCAGCTCCTGTCTGTGAGGCTCCTCTCCCCCCACCCCCGGCTCCCTCCCCCAGCTTTCTGGAGAAGAAAGTCTTGGACGTGGAAGGCAAACACGAGGAGGAGCTGCAAGGGATCAAAGCCGAGAAGCTGGAGATGCAGGGCCTGCTGTCCAAGCAAACCCAGCTCATCCGGGAACTGGAGCAGCACCTCGCCACGGCCTCGGCCAACAACACGGCGCTGCAGAGACAGCAGGCCTCCCTCCTGGACACGGTGACCCAGCTGCTGAGCCTGGTGTCTCAGTGCAACCGTGAGTACCGCAGGAGATGGGGCTGCTCGGGGGTCTGGCCCAAACACGGACCCAGGCTGCTTGGGGCAAGACTGGAGGCGTGTCGGGGGAGCTGCTCCCCAACTCTCACACTGCCCCACCCCACTTTCTTTGGAGCAGCCTAGGGGCTGCTCTAAGGTTGGAGGGGCCCTGGACTTAGCCTAACCACCACTGTGCCCCATCCTTTCCCAGCATGCCCCTGTGCTGGGGTTGGAGGGCTGGCCTAGGAGCCAGCGGGGCTGGGTTCACGCCTGTTGAGAAGTCCCTCCTCCGGGAGGTTCCCAGCAGCTGCAGGCAGCCCCTGGGCCGTTGGCGCCCCGCTGGCGTCAGTGTGGTTGGGACAATGCAGCCTTGGCTGCGCTGCACGAGGAGCCTGCTGCCTGGCAGCCGAGATGCGGGTGGTGCAGGGCTTGGGGGGGTGGTGCAGGGCTAGGGGGGGCAGCCGGGGGAAGAGCTGAGTGTCCCTGTGTCTGCCCCACCCAGAAATCTCCCCGGCCCCCAAGGAGGAGCAGGTGTTCCAGGACGGCGGGGCCGCCTACAAGTCGGGCGTCACCGCCAGCGGCGTCTACACGCTGCGCTTCCCCAACTCCACAGCCACCGCCAGGGTACGTCTCCGCGCGGGGCAGCCTGCCCGCCCCCGCCCCTGCCCAGTCCTGGCACACGTGGTCCAGGAGATGTGAGCACGTGGCTGCAGGCCGAGGCCCCGCCAGCTTCTCTACACCCAGTCAAGGGGCCAGCGCAGCGGGTGGGCAGAGGGCGAAAGCAGAGAGGGGCCTGGGCATCTGGACTCCTGGGTTCTGGGCCCACTTCTGGGGGTGGGGGGAGCCTAGTGTCTAGAGCACCGCAGCGGGATTCTGGTCCTTTGCTCAGCTCCGCCACCCCCTCGCTGCCTGGCCTTGGGCAGCTCCCCACCTCTGCACATCCCTCTGCCCAAAGGGGTCTGCTAGCCGGCTGGCAGGGGCGCTGCTCCCCCCACCCCGCTGTCATTGGAGCAGGGGCTGCTCTCAGATTGGAGGGACCCTGGATGTAGCCTAATCACCACCGTGCCCCAGGCTTTGCAAGCATGCGGGATAAGGGACACCCTAAAGTTAAGGTGGTGGGGTGGGCCCAGCAGAGAGGGTGTTTGCCTGGGGTGGGCAGGATAGGATGGGAGGGGATGGGATGGGATGGGGCAGCCAGCCACCCAGGCTGCCCAGCTGGAAGGCGGGACGAGGAACACCCAGGAGGTGGGGTGGGTTCTGGGATCGCATAGGGGATAGGGCACTTGCCTGGGGAGGGGAGGGGAGGGCAGGGTGGTGGGCCCAAGTCCCCCTCCCTCCCCATAAGGGACAGGACTGGAGAGGATCCAGGGGTCCCAAGCGAGAGGGGGCTGGGATGCAGATGAGTAGCCACGGCCCTAAAAACCAGCACCTGCAAACCAACGCAACCATCCCACAGCTCCGTTGTGCCTCTCGGGGATGGCACAGCCCCTTCCCAGCGGGGACGGTTACCGTGGGCTCTGTCTCAAGGCCCCTTCCAGGCCTGGGGATCCCAGCCTAGCTCCTGCTCTGGACACAGGGCCCTCACGCTCCCGGCCTGTTTCGGGTGCCGGTTCATGGGGCTGCTGTAGCCACAGCCATGCCGTCCCTCTCACAGGCCTTTTGCGACATGGAGACCAGCGGGGGAGGCTGGACCGTCCTGCAGCATCGGAAGGACGGCTCCGTGGACTTCCACCGCACCTGGAAGGAGTACAAAGACGTAAGGCTCCCCCGGCCAGGCCGTGGTGTGGGACCACCGGCGCTTCCGCCCTGCGGGGCAGGAAGAGCTTCCTGTGCGGGCTAGGAATAGCCTGCCGCTCCCAGGGGCGAAGGGCCCTCACTTCCACGCCCGGAGCGCAGGGGGAGGAAGGCGAGGAGCAGAGGTTCCTGCCTCATTGTTCAGGGCGTGCGGCGAAGGCCTCGGTCACGGGTACCCAGGAGGGTACAAACAGGAACCGCGCGATGGGGGAAGGGACAGAGCGGAGCCACCCCTGCGCTGCAAGCAGGGAGCAGAGGCAGCCCCAGCTGCAGGGTTGGGGCAATTTTCCACAGGGGATGGGGTGGAAGAACTGAACCTGTCAGAGCCACTGTAGGGCTCCAAACCAGACCCTTCCCCCACATCCCTTCACCTCCTCCCAGACCAGCGCCGGGATAAGAGCCGGGGCCGGCCTCACCGGGGTGTGGTGCAGTACAGACACTGCGGTGACGGCACAGAAGTACCACAGAGGGAGCGTGAACAGGCGATTCTGCGCCCCCAGCTTTATGGATCCAAAGCAGCCCGGCCCTGCTGACCATGGACGGCCCAGGGCTCAAGGGGATGTTTAATGCAGTTGCCCAAATGGCTAACTAGTCCAAGCAGGGAGGGTTCTTCCTGGACTCCCCCCTTTGCACGTGTCGCGTGGAAAATCGGGATCAGTATCCGTGGTGCCTGGGGCTTCTCCCACATTGACCAGGCCTGGCCTGCCCACTGCTGTCTGCAGAGAGGTGCCACGCGTGGCTTGGGCTCGGTGAGCCCCCGTGGGCAAGCGGCCACGTGGCGCAGCATCTGCTGCAAACACACGCCCGTGCTCCGCCACGGCAGCCCCGTCCCTGGGAACAGCTTTTGGTGAAGAGGCTGGAAAAGATCTCGGCCCACTAGTCATGGGGCTGGCTCTGGAAAGTGCTTTTGTAGCCACGGCGCTGGGAGGGGGTCGTGGGGGTGGATCTGGGTATAGGGGAGATTCTGTGTCTCCTCCAAACCAGGGCCTGGTTCCACCCCTGGCAGCAGCAGGAAGCAGGGAGGGGCTGGGAACAGCTGCACTGAACACCGCTGTGCTGCCGGCTTTGGTTTTGGAAAGCCAACCAGGTGCCGGAGCCTGAGGCCTCCCAGCAGCCTAGAAGTGGGATCAGCGACACTCTAGTTACAGAATGACCATTGCACGTATGGACAGTTCCCTCAGAGCAGAGCCGAGTCAGTCCCCTCCAGCACAGACTCACAGCACAAGAACCTGGCTGAGCGCTTGGGCGGCCACCCAGGAGAGTCAGGTGCCACCCAAATGATTAGCAGAGCGCCCACAGCCGGCAGCGTCTTTCCCTGGGTGGTGCACATCCACCGATGAATCGGTGCACGCAACAAAATTTATTCTGCACATTGGTGAAAAATCAGAGGGAACATTGCTGGGAACTCTTTTCTCTGGGCTGGTGGCAGCCGCCAGGGCACGGGGTTTTTTATCTTTCCACACAGGGTTTTGGGTCCCCCTCTGGAGAACACTGGCTGGGAAATGACTTCATCCACCGGCTCTCCACTCAGGGCTCCTATTCCCTCCGAGTCCAGCTCCGGGACTGGGACAGCAACGAGGCCTACTCCCTGTACGAGCATTTCCACCTGGGCAGCGAGGAGCAGCTCTATCGGTGAGTCCCGCCGTTGGTGCACTAAGGGGGATCCCGCCCTGCCTGGTCCTGGACATGAGTGCAGAAGCTCCTCATGCACTGGGCATGGGCCAGCAGCCACCTTCATGCCCCCTTGTGGCCTGAGGCTGTGCTGCAAGTGCCCTGCCTCAGTTTCCCCACTTCTCAGGATGCTGTCAATTAAACTCTGGATGCAGATCCAGACTTGTAGGCTTTCCTGCTGGGGCCTCCCAGGCCTTAGACCCAGCATTCCCTGCTGGAACCTACTCCCACCCAGCAGCCTTTGCCTGCCGGTTCCTGCAGTCATGTTAATGCCCCTGTTAGTGTCCTGCTGGTTCCATGTTGGCCAAGGGAATCAAACAGCTTTTATAGCAGCCGAGCTTGGCTAAAACCTGATGGAACCTCAACCTCAGAACTTTGAATGTCGTTTTCAGTCCGGGAGCCCTGGCTCCGGCAAGGCAAGGCTAACCCTGCTTTCCCGAATGAGGCAGAGCAGAAATCTCCAGCGCCGGGCAGAAATTTCACTCTGTGCCCGATCTACAGCCAACGGAAATCAGTGGAAATCTCTCTAGTGACTGCACTGGGCTTTGGACTGGGTTCTGAATGATCCAGTCAGGGTTTCTGGCCTGGCCACCGCAGCACCCCACCCTGTTGATAAACGGGGATCGGCAGCCCCAGCGGGGAAAGATGCTATTTCTCCACTTATCCAATCTCACAGCTTTTCCCCGAGTGCTGAGAATTCGGCTCCGAGAGGCCCAGCCTGGTGACCAGTGTCAGAGAGGCAGCTGTGTTAGTCCAGTGTTTCTCAACTTTTTTTTTTATAAGTTGTCATTTTTCAAAAAAAATTATAAGTACCCCTCGTACCTACAGTTTTCAGACACACAAAACAATGTTCTACTATTGCAACACATTTGTTTAAACAACTTAATCGTAGCCAGGCGGGCGATGCAATTTTTGGATGTAAAAAGTACAAAAATAATAAAGCGCTGTAAAACTTAAAAGAAAAATTCAGTTTTCTCCACATTTCAGTGCACGTATCCCCCCCCCAGACTTCTCACGAGTACCCCTAAGGGTTCTCGTACCACTGGTAGAGAAACACTGAGTTAGTCTGTCTCAGCAAAAACGATGAGGAGTCCCCTGCCGCCTGAAAGCCCTGCACGTTTATTTGGGCCTACGTTTTCGTGGGCTGGATCCCACTCCGTCAGACGCATTTTTTGTTAGTCTTTAGGGTGCCCCAAGACTCCTGGTTGTTCAGAACTGGTGAGACGCTTTTTCTGGTGAGACACAGAGGCAGCTTTTCCAGGACCGGTGGAGGCATTTTTATCCTGGGAGTTGGGGCCGAGTCCTTCTTGGCAATCGGCCCCAGCAAAACACGAGGCCAC